ACCCAAAGGGGTGTGTATATATATGCTTGTGCATGTGTATGAGACAGAAAAAATAAGACACCAGCAATCCTACCATCATGTAAAACAATTACAGGCTTCAGTTTTACACTCACCTGGCAGGACGGTAGTACTTCCCTGGGCGGTTGCTGTCTACCAACCTACTACCTAGGCTATATAATATATATATATATATATATATATATATATATATATATATATATATATATATATATATATATATATATATATATGGATATCAGATTGGAGGGAGAGAGTATGGAGGAGGTGAATGTATTCAGATATTTGGGAGTGGACGTGTCAGCGGATGGTCTATGAAGATGAGGTGAATCATAGAATTGATGAGGGGAAAAGGGTGAGTGTTGCACTTAGGAGTCTGTGGAGACAAAGAACTTTGTGCTTGGAGGCAAAGAGGGGAATGTATGAGAGTATAGTTTTACCAACGCTCTTTTATAGGGTGTGAAGCATGGGTGATGAATGTTGCAGCGAGGAGAAGGCTGGAGGCAGTGGAGATGTCATGTCTGAGGGCAATGTGTGGTGTGAATATAATGCAGAGAATTCGTAGTTTGGAAGTTAGGAGGAGGTGCGGGATTACCAAAACTGTTGTCTAGAAGGCTGGGGAAAGGGGTTGTTGAGGTGGTTCGGACATGTAGAGAGAATGGAGCGAAACAGGGTGACTTCAAGAGTGTATCAGTCTGTAGTGGAAGGAAGGCGGGGTAGGGGTCGGCCTGGGAAAAGGGTTGGAGGGAGGGGGTAAAAGGAGGTTTGTGTGCGAGGGCTTGGACTTCCAGCAGGCATGCGTGGCGTGTTTGATAGGAGTGAATGGAGACAAATGGTTTTTAATACTTGACGTGCTGTTGGAGTGTGAGCAAAGTAACATTTATGAAGGGGTTCAGGGAAACCGGCAGGCCGGACTTGAGTCCCGGAGATGGGAAGTACATGCCTGCACTCTGAAGGAGGGGTGTTAATGTTGCAGTTTAAAAACTGTAGTGTAAAGCACCCTTCTGGCAAACAGTGATGGAGTGAATGATGGTGAAAGTTTTTCTTTTTCGGGCCACCCTGCCTTGGTGGAAATCGGCCAGTGTGATAATAAAATAAAATAATATATATATATATATATATATATATATTATATATATATATATATATATATATATATATATATATATACATACATATATAAAATAATGGAAAGTATTTCATATATATAAGTAACGTATTAAGGAACTTATAGATGATGTATTTACGAGGACATGGAACTCTTGGCTACCATTGGCTGGCTCACTGTACAACATCAAGAAGTTCTGAACAGTATTCGTTTCTCTTCTAATTTCCCTTCGTTACTTACGTTCTAAAAACTTAAGTGATGTGTGTGAAGCCTTAAATAAATTTTATTTTATTCAGATATATAAGGTTTCTTAATGATAGAGATAATTCAGTGGCGAGGCCATTAACCTAGTATCATCATTTACAGTACATCTGAAACTCATTGAGCATTTATATGTCGTCAGTAAGTGAGCATTGCATGGCGTTCATTTATATGTCGTCAGTAAGTGAGCATTGCATGGCGTTCATTTATATGTCGTCAGTAAGTGAGCATTGCATGGCGTTCATTTATATGTCGTCAGTAAGTGAGCATTGCATGGCGTTCATTTATATGTCGTCAGTAAGTGAGCATTGTATGGCGTTCATTTATATGTCGTCAGTAAGTGAGCATTGCATGGCGTTCATTTATATGTCGTCAGTAAGTGAGCATTGTATGGCGTTCATTTATATGTCGTCAGTAAGTGAGCATTGCATGGCGTTCATTTATATGTCGTCAGTAAGTGAGCATTGCATGGCGTTCATTTGTTCATTCCTGTTCTGTTGCGAGTAATGTTTACTATAGCTCCATTTCTGGTGTTTACATCGTATTGTAACATACAAAGAGTACACGAATGTTGTATGAAATTAATCCCAAGTGTAATCTTAGTACGAGATTACTTACGGGCTAGTTTTATGTAAAACAATATTTTCCGCACACACACATATTATATATATATATATATATATATATATATATATATATATATATATAATATATATATATATATATATATATATATATCCCCAGCAACCTTAAATACATTAATTCCAATACACGGTCTTCAGAAACTATAATTATATGTATAACCATTGACACACTAGTTAAATTCACGCTGAAACTCATGAGTAAATAAAACAAATCTGCAATAAACATTCTGGGTTAGTTTTATGTGGGTGTGAGGTGATGTGGGGTCAGTCAGGTGTAGAATCATGACTTACCTGGCCTCATCAACAAGGTGTAGCGGCGTGGTACCTCCTCCTGGACACTCTCACTACCATCTTTTACTTTGTACTTCACGGTGGGTGCCCACCCCACCAAAAAAAAAAAAAATAGCTTCTGGGAAAATCTCACACGTGTGTCGAGGCTGACATTGAACCACCTTTCGTGCTGGCTGATGTTTACACGGAACCACCAGTGGCCTCTGGCGGGCGAGCTGGGAAGTGCCAGTGACACTGTGGTGCTGGCACGCATCAGCCAATCAATACTCAGAAGGCTGCGAAGCTACTCTCTTATTGGTCAGCTTTTCGTTTTCTGTGGCATCATCAAGTGTCGCAGGAACCAATGTTGATCAATAGATCTTCAATGTCGTCGAGAAACTGCTTAAGTCCACACACACACACACACACACACACACACACACCCCACACACACACAAAACACACACACACACACACACACACACACACACACACACACATACACACACATACACACACACACACACACACACACACACACACACACACACACACACACACACACACACACACACACACACCACACACATACACCGTGCCAACCCCAATAAGCTGGCCTGTCAAACGGAATTAAGACAGGCTAAAAATACAGTAGAATGCCATGAGAGTCGCGAGGAATCTCGACAAGGTTAGTAAGAATCTGGCAAGTGGAGGGCGGCCAGCTGGCAGAACCAACTGGCAAAACCAGCTGGGAGAACCAACTGCCGTCAAGCTGTGAGTCTGGAGGGAAGATAACTAGAACAATGGCGCCGTATATCTCACACTGAATCAATACAGAATAACTCGCTTAGCCGTGAGACTCTCTGGATCAGCTTAGTGCAACGTTAAGCTTGATTATGTAGCTGAGATATGTAGCTATCCCATGATGAATTAATGATGGCTTCCCAGGTTTTAAGGAGTATTGATTCATCATGGTCATTAAGGCTATAATTCACCTGTGCAAGAAAATCCAGCCCCTTTAATTCTGAAAGTAGGAATTCACGTAAACTTTACACACAGACAGACAGACAGACAGACAGACAGACAGACAGACACACACACACACACACACACACACACACACACACACACAGGAGCTCGGACTCGACCCCCGCAACCTCAACTAGGTGAGTACACACACACACACACATGTCAGCATAGTTGCTGATCCCCTGTATATGTATATGTTATCTGAGTATCATAGTACCATCCATATGTTTTACATAGTTGACCCCTTGCTAGGCTCAGTGACTAGCTTGTGTGACGTCACGTGATGCCGCATGTGAGCGCTGTGCTCCCTGTCTCCTCCTCACTCCACGCTTAGGTCTACGAACAGGCAACGCAGGCAGTCTGGGCTCCCCTCTCACACTCTGCTAATATAAGTGTTACCATCCAACAAGTGTGTTTAACTCCAACCATCACATCTCCACGAACCCTCCCAACACACACATATACAGACACACACAGACACACAGATACACAAACACACACAGATACACAGACACACACAGATACACAGACACACACAGATACACAGACACACACAGACATACAGACACACACAGATACACATTTCTTCAGCCACAGAGTAGTCAGGAAGTGGAATAGTTTGGGAAGCGATGTAGTGGAGGCAGGATCCATACATAGCTTTAAGCAGAGGTATGACAAAGCTCACGGTTCAGGGAGAGTGACCTAGTAGCGACCAGTGAAGAGGCGGGGCCAGGAGCTTGAACTCGACCCCTGCAACCTCAACTAGGTGAGTATACACACACACACACACACACACACACACACACACACACACACACACACACACACACACACACACACACACAACACACACACATACATACACACACACACACATACATACACACACACAAATATATATATATATATATTATATATATATATATAATGTATATATATATATATATATATATATATATATATATATATATATATAATATATATATATATATATATAATATATATATATATATATTTATGTCGTGCCGAATATGTAAAACTGGTCAATTAGCAAGAACTCGTTTAAAATTAAGTCCTTTCTAAAATTTTCTCTTATACGTTTAAAGATATATTTTTTTCATTAATGTTGATGTAAAAATTTAGAATTTTGCACCAAAAGGAACTTAGAAAACTTACCTAACCTTATTATAACAAGAACAATTTATTTTAGCCTAACCCAACTAAATATATTTTAGATTTGTTTACAATAATTTAATACTAAACAAACACAGTGAAATATATTTTTTTCGTTAGGTTCAGAATGATTTTGGCGAAATTATTGCATACACAAATTTTCACTTGTCCTATATGGCAAGATGAGCGTTGCTATTTAAGCAAAGATCGCAAGTTCTGCCTATTCGGCACGACATATATATATATATATATATATATATATATATATATATATATATATATATATATATATATATATATATATATATATATATATATATATATATATATATATATATATATATATATATATAACTTGATTTTATTAACAGAACACAACGCAATTTTGTCTTCTGAGAGAGGAATTAAGGAAGAAAATTGCCTGTCATCCTTAGAATATCTTTCACCCTGAGTTGTTATTGTACTCGACACCCTTGATGCTGGTGAAAGTCTCTTGATGCAAGGAACTGGAGCACCCCTCCTATTCCATGGATCAAAACTGATTATCTCCCGTTTCCCCCTCAAGCGCTGCTGAACTCATGCGGGTTTAGTGCCGCCCCAACAAACTGAATGTATAAAAATTAATACTGTAATGAATAATAACATTCACTACCGATAATTTGCTGAGTAAAAGTGAGTTAGACTGTATAGATTAAGTTAGTGCTGGGCTGCTAACTTAGCCGCTAACTTTATTAACTTTATTTATGTGTAAGTCTAGTAAGTTGACTTGCAGCAGCGCTGTATGACCTTTCGGGTTTAGCGCTTACCTTGATTATATTAATAATTTGTGACGTGTGTGTGTGTTCACCGAGTTCTGCTTACGGCGGTCGAGTTTCAGCTCCTGGCCCTGCCTCCTAGACTACTTTGATCGACATTACTGATTTCTGACCTCTTCGGCCTTATCATATCTGCTCCTGAAGCTGTGCGTTCAGGCTTTTAACTCCTCCTTACATCGCTATGGTTTATCATCTGTGTCTTCAGCTTCCACTTGTATCCCCTTGATCCTGGTCCTCTTAATTTAAACAGTCTGTCCCAATCAATTCCTTTTAAGATTTTTTATGTCATAATCAAGTCTCCCCCTTCTATTTTTTCTGGCCTCCTAGGTCAACAGACGCAGTTCCTTCAAACTCTCCTGATAGTGCCTTCCTCTCAGTCCTGGTGCTAGTCTGGTTGCACACCTCTGGACCTTTTTAAATCGTTGCACATGCTAGACGAGGTGTGGGCTCCACAATGGAGCCGCGTACTCATTGATTGGCCTAATATACGTCTTATATAACGTTCTGAAGGACTTTTTGTTCAACTTCCTGGATGTTGTTCTGAGGTTTGCTAATCTTGCATTTTCCCCTGACATTAAACGGTTTATGCGTATTTTCTAGTGATATATTTGCTGTTATATTCACCCTCAAGCCATTTACACTCTCTGATATTTATAGCTTTTCTCCGCCCTTGCTGTACTCTGTGTCCGGTCTGTCCTCTCCCTCTCCAAACCCCACGATCTTTCACTTGACATATATTTATTGTTCGTTGAGCGATTTAGTTGGTGTTTAAGGTTTATGGTCAATCGACCACACAAGGGTCATGAAATGTTCATGTGACTGCCACATCACCTGTCATGAATACTTTGATCCCTAAGACAAGGATTCAAGTTATCAGTGTATATACACAAAGAGGTGTATACCTCTTTGTGTATATACAGTTGTGTGTGCCAACAGAGTACGGCTGGATTTAAATTACGTTTGAATTCTATCGCCTGCACGAGGGTCATTAAGGCTGCATGTCACCTGCGCACCACTAGTCAAGGATACGTTAATCCATGATAGAGGGAGTGAAGTATACTACGTTTACCGAGATATATACTCCTCTGTGTAGATATATATTCCTCTGTGTAGCTATATACTCCTGTGTAGATATATATTCCTCTGTGTAGCTATATACTCCTCTGTGTAGATATATATTCCTCTGTGTAGCTATATACTCCTCTGTGTAGATATATATTCCTCTGTGTAGCTATATACTCCTCTGTGTAGATATATATTCCTCTGTGTAGCTATATACTCCTCTGTGTAGATATATATTCCTCTGTGTAGCTATATACTCCTCTGTGTAGATATACTTCTGCTATCGATGCATTCAGATCAACAGAGATGTACACTTCGTGGTTAGTGGGGTTTAAAGCCTATCGGCTACATTAGGGACATTAAGGCTGCACGCAGCCTATTCTCCAGCAGACAAGAATATTGAGTGAGGTCAGGAACCAGGGGTGCGGTCTGGGACAAGCGGTGCGGTCTAGGACAAGGGGTGAGGTCTGGGACCATGGGTGAGGTCTGGGACCAGGGGTGCGGTCTGGGACCAGGGGTGCGGTCTGGGACCAGGGGTGAAGTCTGGGACCAGAGGTGAGGTCTGGGACCAGGGGTGAGGTCTGGGACCAGGGGTGAGGTCTGGGACTAGGGGTGAGGTCTGGGGCCAGGGATGAGGTCTGGGACTAGGGGTGAGGTCTGGGACTAGGGGTGAGGTCTGGGACTAGGGGCGAGTTCTGGGACCAGGGGTGAGGTCTGGGACCAAGGGTGAGGTCTGGGACTAGGGGTGAGGTCTGGGACTAGGGGTGAGGTCTGGGACCAGGGGTGAGGTCTGGGACCAGGGGTGAGGTCTGGGACCATGGGTGCGGTCTGGGACCAGGGGTGAGGTCTGGGACCAGGGGTGAGGTCGAAGTAATCAATATTTCCTGTGATGCATCAAACAATGTGTTGGCTACAATATATATATATATATATATAATATATATTATATATATATATATATATATATATATATATATATATATATAATATATATATATATATATATATATATATATATGCAAAACAACCACTCTGAAAGAATAGAGAAATTCCAAGCACTTTCGTGACTACTCACATTATCAAGGAACTATGAAAGTAAAGCATCCAAGGAAGCTATATA